GAGTAGTCCGACTCCACTCGGAAACCAAAATACATCTTCTGGCCCAAACCAACTTCCTTTGGAAATTCAGTAACTCTTTCATTGTTGCTCGCATCCTTGTACATGTCCATGAAATATGTAAAATTGCCAAACCCCTCTATAAATATACAAACAGAATGGTTTAGAACTTTTACTTGCAGGTCGTTAACAGACGCTGTTCTCGTTTTTACAAGTATAAAAAGTGTCAAATATGAGTAGGACACCAAACGCATGGGTGATCATGATCAACTTAAAACATGTGCTCATTTTAGTTCTTCAAAATATTTACCCTGCATCATGGACGAGTGGATAATGATTTTAGTACGCTATGAAAAACTATGAAAACTAAGTTTTCCAAGTTACCTGCATCTGTTTTGACGAAAGTAGACCTTGCGTTGTACGACACTTTAGAGATGTTGATTTTCTTGTCATACCCACACTGGAACGGAATAACTTGCATGTGTCCACGGGTTATCGCTTCATCGTTAGATGGCTGTCCCGCTTTGAGATAAAGTTTGTTTTTGTAGTAAATCTTCTTGCCATCGTCTTCCTGTTCTGTCTTGCAGTCCTCAAGTCCAAATGTGAACTTTACCGTGGCAGCATCTTTATAGCCAGCACCACAAGCTTTGTCTTCGAGGTGAAGGGAAGAGTCGTTGACAATGATGCCTGGGTAATCTGAAATCTGTAGAGATACTTCGACGTAGTCGGGTCGGCAAACAACTTGTATTTCTGAAAGTCAAAAAGACAGAATGTGTAAAAGAAAAAATATTTTCTGCACAACATTTCTCTCTTCCAAGATGTGCTGGCCAATTTTCATTATCTGTTTAGTACTGGGGCTTGGGTTAATAGGCCTTTTAAACTACCTATAAATAATAAAAATTAATTGTTACCCGTAACCTGTAATTACTTAGATCTCCGTCTATCATTCTATCAATCTGTTTTTTAATCATTCATTCATTCATTCAGTCATCCGTTCATTAATTAATTTATTCATTCAGCCAGCTATTCAGTTAGTCAGTCTTTCTTTCTTTCGTCCTCTCTGTGCGTCTGTCTGCTTGTCTCTCTGTCTTTCGTTCTTTTCAGTTATTTTAATTTAATCACTCAGTTCTATCTACCCATTCCAGTCCTTTTTCGTTTTTTGCAAGTTAGTTAAACATTTTCATTACATTTGGTTACTTGGTCTTATCATAATCCTTATCTTTATTTTATTTCCAAGCGAGGTAGACAAAAAGTGAAGACTATTTAATGGAAAATTATTTTGACGTTAAACTAAGGCCCTCCACAGACTAGAGAGATTGTTGTCGACAACTATTTAGTTGTCGATCATAAAACGTGGTCGATAACAAAATAGCCAGTGTGTGAAGCAAGTTATCGATAACTAAGGCCCTTAGTTATCGATAACTAGCTTCACACACAGGCTTTTTTGTTATCGACAACTTTTTATGATCGACAACTAGATAGTTGTCGACAACTATCTTTCTAGTCTGTGGAGGCCCTAAGTAGAGTAAGTTAACCAGGAATAGTATATACATTCCCATTTTGCTATAAATCTTGATATTAAATGAATAACTTCCAAAAACGTTTTACTTATGTGAATATTGAGTAAATTTAATAATTTTAAATCACTTACTGGCTTCGTAATCCAATGTGATGTTTGGAACTGTTTGCTCCAACGCGGAACTGAAAACGAAAACACAGCACCATCAGTAACTAAGGCGGTTAGCTTACAAGTCTCATCGTGAAGAATCAAGGACTTGTTCAGCTGTCTCTAATTCTTATCTCCATATTTTACTTTTTCTATATCCTAAAGCGTATCCATTTTAATCTCATGCAACCCTTATTTTCCCGATATTTATCAATAATTGAATACACGAACAGAATGAGTCCATTGCATGATCTGTTGATTTGCACGTGTGATCGCAGTTGAAAGTTGACATCTGGACTACAGACCTTTGCTGTCATTTTACAAAATTAATTAATTTTAGAAATTTAAAATAGTTTAACGTGTGACGGAGCTCACATTGATATACCACATATAAATTTAATAGCGCGATTAAAGTTTGTCCACCAAATGCTATAACCCCTTCATTACTTTGGTGTTCACGAGTTAAAAATGAAATTAAAGTCTTGGTTAATCGACTTCTGTCGACAGCGGACACCTCAATTATTTGGCTGACACCATGGCGAGTGAATGAGTGTCCAATGATATAGATTCCACACTTACCTGAGGTGGTGCAGACCTGCCCTCCTGCACTGAAACCAATTGGACCAGTGTTCTTTTGAGCGCAATCAGTTTTACCTGCTGGGCATTCTTCAGGAGCTAAGAGGGAAATAAAAAGATGCAAGGCAAGTCAGACATTGACGGGCCTTTTTGATATAATTCCTGACAAAAGCCTTAACTACGAAGCTTAGCCTGTTCCAGGCAGACAAAATGAAGCATAGCCACTTAGAAGTTTACAATAATACATATAACATGCATAATAATATCCGATTAGATTAATTGTTGTAGATATAAAAAATAATAAAAGAGAAATAAAACAAACTCACTGAGAGCTCTGTAGGTTGCATAGAAACCAGGCCAGTTATTTTTCTTGAAAGAGTCAAACCTCACAAACATCCTCTCGTTATAGGAAACAAATGAAAATAATCGTTGGCATCCACAAAGTTTTATAATATCTCTACTGTCTTCGTTTCCACGAGACTCGCTTACAGTGATACTATCATCCCCACAAGTCCCTGCACGGGAATATCGATGATCTTCAATGCCCAGCCATTGAATTGTGAATTGCACACGGTACCCAGGAGGGGCATCGATTGTCCATACACACGTCTCTTTAGCATCGTAGTTGTTAGGAAAGTTTGGACTGGCTATGACACCAGAGAGTCCTTTTAGCCCGGTGTTCGTTCCACATAAATCTGAACAATAACAGAAATAAAATAATTAACATCATTGTATTGTATTGGATTGGATTGGATTGGATTGGATTGGATTGGATTGGATTGCATTGCATTGCATTGGATTGGATTGGATTGGATTGGATTGGATTGCATTGCATTGGATTGGATTGGATTGGATTGGATTGCATTGCATTGGATTGAATTGGATTGGATTGGATTGGATTGGATTGGATTGGATTGGATTGCATTGCATTGCATTGCATTGCATTGGATTGGATTAGATTGGATTGGATTGCATTGGATTGGATTGGATTGGATTGGATTGGATTGGATTGCATTGCATTGGATTGGATTGGATTGGATTGGATTGGATTGCATTGCATTGCATTGCATTGCATTGCATTGCATTGGATTGGATTGGATTGGATTGGATTGGATTGGATTGGATTGGATTGGATTGGATTGGATTGGATTGGATATCTTTTCCTGTCTATAAATGCTGAATTTGTTTTTCTTATCATCAAATAATCGACTACTATCACCTCGGGCCAAACGAGAGAGGTAGTCGTCGACGACTCTCAAGAAAATTTGAGTAAGTTGAAATTCGATGAGAGGGCATGAGAGTGCATGAGAGCTTCTGGCCAACCGAGATGACAACAACAACAAGATGTTTGATCGAATTGCTCCAAATTTGCCGAACCGGATTATATAATGGAAGAAACTTACTTGCTGGATGTCCTCCCTGGTGTGAGCATTCAATGGTGTCTATAAAACAAAGCAAATAAAAGATCTATTGAGCTTTAAATAATGCGGTATAAGCAGTATTGATCATGTGGGGAGAAACAGTACTGAACAAAAAAACGTGAGTCAAGATGAATCAGTAAACAGACGAACGGGTAAATCTTCGATACTTTATTTTGGGGGCTTACTTCGGGAATGAAGGAAAATTAAGGGAAGATATGCAGTATTTGAATAATATATACTGTATGACTGTAGATTCTAGAAAATTAACGTTCTAGAAAATTAACAACTTCATGTAAGGGCCATCAACTTTGACCATACATGCCTCTATTACTCTTACCAGACTCAATCGGTTTATACGTAATTCTTAACTTGTCATTCACGCTGAAAGTAGCCGACACCGTTTGAAGAAACGCTGAGCTCCCGCTAGAGTACAGAGTAAGAGAGCCGTTTGCACACGGGCCATATTTGCCAATCAGAGGACTGAGGGCATCAGCACCATCACGGATGACCAAATAGTCATCGACCCCGTTTAGCTTCAGGACCTCGATCGTAATTGCAAGTCGGAAATTGTCCGCCGCTTGGATTTTCCAGATGCAGGAGCTGTCGGTAGAGCCATCCGGGAATATGGGTGATGATATCACACCCGGGACCTGAGCGTCAATGACAATGTTGGTATTCGACGGAGAACAAGCTGGAACATGAACATGTGTAAACATTTTTAAAATATCTCAACAATTCAAAAGAAGGTTCTAATTCTTATACCATAATTTATTTCCACAAAGGTTCTAATGTTTGAGTTTGTGGATGAAACCCTAGTGTGTGACCATTCAAATAAAAACTGAATAATTTAATAGTTTTCATTTGAATGAACCGCGAAAGTAGTACTACTTAAAAGTAGAGGTCTAGCTGCCTTTTGGGAATGAAAACCCTACAGCTAGTGTGTGACTATTCATATGACAATTGACTTCCATGTGGCAACCGTTGGGTATGACTTTTACTGTGAATTATTTTGTATTCTTTAAATATATAAGTCACATATTTTTAATGTTATTCTTTTACAATTATTGTATTATAATCCAGTGTCTCCAATTAGTTTCAATGAGGCTAAATCAATTGACACTAAAATAAAGATATTACTGACTGACTTGATTTTCATAGTCACTTATTTTCCACCTTTACATGAATGAGGTTCGTAAAAATAAAAAAATACTAGCCAAAACATCAGATAATGAATATGAATGAAATCATATATGTGAACTGCGGAAATGAAATTTTAAGTTATCATCGCAGTTATAGCATAGGAGACGTCTGCACGCAGGCTACGCAGTTATGAATGCAATTTTTGCAATTGCAATATTGAACCCATGACCTCCGCGTTACTAGTGCGATGCTCTGCCAACTGAGCTACGAAGCCACGCATTGGGAGCAGGTATTGACTATGTTGTTATAACATTTGATGTTATTAATAGCTTCTTATGAAATAAACAAGATACTATGCGCGCTCTGATTGGCTCAAAACCATTTACCGTAACTCCATGAAAGCATAGAAAATTGTTTCGTGCTTTTATTTCATAAAAACAACAGAAAACGTTTTCCCTGTGTTGCCATAGAGTTATGCATGGTAACACTCGTGAACGTTTGGAAGAACTCGTTTAGTATATGAGCTATCATATTCCATCTTCCACAACTTATTTTGTCCTCGACTAGTTTTTCTGTGGTAGTGGTCAACACGAAAGCCTTTGCCTACTTTGACCACTACGAACTCTTTTACATAAATTGTATATATTTATTCCAAATTTCCGTAAAGCCAGCAGGCAGGAAACAATCTTCAGGAGGGTCACGACATGTTTTTTAATGCATACATGTTTCGGATGATCCTTCATCCATCTTCAGTACAAGTAACAGAACACGCTAGTGAGTGTGATATAAATATAAGAAAAATACAATGGTATGGAAAATATAGCTAATTACAACGTGGCAATAAATGTAGAACATATAACTAATTACAACTAAACAAGAAATATAGAAAATAAGACTAATTAAGGCGTGACAAAAATAAAGAAAAAAACAGAACAGAGAATATATACTGATAAACAAACAAAACTAAATAGCCAGTGAAAGATTGACATGAAAATTTGCCTATTGATCGAGTGTGGGTTTTTCCCAATGGATATGTAGCGCCTCCTTGATTTTAAGCTGGAAGGAGGTTGAGGCGGTGTCCAGGATGGAAAAAACAATTTTCAGAACAAAAAGCTCGGATAATGCTTTGAGGTGCTGATAAATGTGGGGGAAAAAAACCAACTTGATGTCAAGATTTTTGCAAAACCGCTGAGTAAGACGCCTAATTTTGCGTTGAACCGTGTTGTCAATCTTTCACTGACTATTTAGTTTTGTTTGTTTATCAGTATATATTCTCTGTTCTGTTTTTTTCTTTATTTTTGTCACGCCGTAATTAGTCTTATTTTCTATATTTCTTGTTTAGTTGTAATTAGTTTTATTATATCTCTTATATAGTACGCGCGCTGTGATTGGTCAATTTCACGGGCCGTATTCAGTCTACGGTACGGCCCGCGAAATTTGAGAGTGCTACTGATCGTGACGCCATCTTTGCAAGTTACTTTCGATTAATTTCAAATTCTGCATAATAATGTCTCAAGAAGACGATTTTGAAACCTGCAATCCGGATGAAAGAGCTTTAGAGCGAAGCGAAGAGGATTTTCAAACGCGATTTATCAGTCGGGAACTTTTAGAAGCCGAAAACGTCCAAGATGTGCGAGCCGGCCGGACTCGATTCAGGAACTTGACAGTTTTATCTCTGCCAAAAAGTCCGCAAACTGACTGTGAAGAAGACGAATTCTGAATGGAAAAGGTTTGAAAAGGTCTGTTAAGAGCAGACGAATGGAACATTTAACGTGGAAAACGTAAGTCTTACCTGTTGATGTTTTTGACAAGCTTCTCGGCAAATTTTTCACCAAGTTATTATACGACTTCTGCAGCGAACACTTCTCAGGACTACACAACAAAGCGCCACAAAATGGACGGCAGTATCTATTCTGAGAGGACTTTTGTCCCGTAGTTTCGTTACAATTTTAGTGTTCTCTCGTCCAGTATTTGTAAGAAACACTCGTCAGTATTTTCACTCAGTTTGACGAACACGCTGTAAGTTGATTGCGGTGCTTTCTTCTCAATCGGTGAATCAAATTTATTGTCCTTGTCTGTTTAACGAACTTCAAGAAGTAGTTTAAAAGTAAACTAGAACTGTACCTAGTACCAAATGAAACCCCTTTCCTCGCGGTTGACTTGAAATGTTTTCCTTTTTCCAAAGGAAGAGATATAATAAATATCTTACTAGCCTCGTCTTCTCGTTCCGTACTGTAAGTTACGGATCCTCGTTTTTTTCCCCTTCGATTTATGGCCCAAGCGCTTCGCGCTTCGCGCTTGGGCCATAATTCGAAGGGGAAAAAACTCGGTCCGTAACTTACAGTATGGACCTCGAACTCGGTTAGTAAGAGGTATATATGTTCTACATTTATTGCCACGTTGTAATTAGCTATATTTTCCATACCATTGTACTTTTCTTATATTTATATCACACCCACTAGCGTGTTCTGTTACTTGTACTGAAGATGGATGAAGGATCATCCGAAACATGTATGCATTAAAAAAAGTCGTGACCCTCCTGAAGATATATTTATTCCTCTTTTCTTTTCTTTCTTGTTTATAACTTATATATATATTATTGTAATTCTTTAAAAAATAAGTGCAAATAAAATGAACTTGAACTTGAACTTATCAGTATGATAAACAAGTACAGGCTAGCATGAGTTTCACGCATGACGGGTTTAATTCGGCAAAATTAATACTGTTTACCGAAGAATGAGAGTGTTCTTATTTTTTCAAGTTTCAGAAATAAATACACCGTGTCATGCATGCACATGTGGGTAGATTTGGATCAAACAACACACAAGGTGATAAAAAGCTCGCCATTCACTGATAACCGTCGGCAGAAAGTATACGGCAATAAATTGTTAACGAAAATTGACAGAAAGCCAACCACGTGGCTGAATATCAAATTAAATTCTTTGAAAATTACAATATGTTTCTAAGTGTTTGTTCGGTTTCGAGTCCAGAGAAGTTTCTTATGCAAAAATTAAAATAGAAAATGAAAAGTAGTGCTCGTCAACACGATGCCGCAGTTTTGTATGATGTGATTGCACGTAGTTCATTTGCTAGTCCACCTATTAAGATTCAAAATTGCATAATTTTGTTACATGTTTTGACTAACACTGATATCCGTTTATTTATGCGTTTGAAGATGAACTTGATTTATTCGAAAAAACTACAATCGAACCTCGCTGTTTAAGTACACCCTCCCTCCCCTCTTATACGAACACTTCGCTATACGGACGGTGGTTTTAATTAACTCGCTCGTAAAGCGGATTAAATTTAGAACAAAATATATACTAGAACCTCTTTAAGTAATACGGACACTTTCTTTGATCTCTACGGTGTCTCTATCAACGGGCTTTGATTGTTTAGTCAATGCTACAACTAATAATTATAAGCGGTGAATAAATTCCCCTAATGCAGTTAAACCTCTCCACTACGGCCACTCTGGAGCAAAATTAACTGGCCATTGTAGGGATATTTCAATAAGGGTAAAGTGTGTGCATGGTCGGCGCACGGTCGGTACAGAATTAACTGGCTCTTGTAGAGAGGTGGTCGCTATAGGGAGGTTTCAATAAAGGTAAAAAGTGTATGGTCGGCGCAATTAAGTGGGACTGGTGAAAAATCGTTACCGTTGTAGAGAGGCGGCCGTTATACGGGAGGTGGCCGACTTAGTGAAAGTTTGTACTATTGACTTCAGGGCTCGGTCAATCCGTTGCAATCTGCGCTCATACTTGTACAGGCAAAATCTAACTTCATACATGTACATACCTTCAACATTTGCTTCTACTAGTACTTCGGTTAAAAATGGCCCACAAACTGCACCAACGATGAGCAACTTTGAAAACAGCAACAAATTCATTTTGCGCTTAAACAGATCACCGGCGGTCGACACCAGCTTTGGCACTGCGACTAGTGGAAATACCTATCTCAGCTGGTGACAACGTCCGTCGGTCTGCGGTTATGTTTGATCTTAAACGCAAATGCTGATTATCTTGCCTTTATTGGAAAGGACAATAGATAACTCCTTTGTTAACAGCTGTGAATCTTTATTTTCGGTAATCCAAGCGTAGATAAAGTTTTATAAACCTGATATGGACATGCAAATACTTCTTTTTATGGCCTGACTGTGCATTTAATAAATATCCTACGGAGAAGTTGAACGAAAGTTCTGTTCCACCACCATTTTTTATTTTTTTATTTATACATTGTATTTGTGGCGGGAGAATCAGTTCATTCCTTCAATTTGTAATAAGTTTGATAAGCCTGAAAAATGAAACTTGATAATTAAATTGACTCAGTGTACAAACTGATCAATTTATGCCTGGTGGTCAGTTGCTATCGGCTCATTACCTGTATGGCACACTCAGTATTGATTTGACTTTGATATTTTGCAGCCCAACGACCAAATTTTCCTTTAGGTGTCGGAACGTCGTTTTTACGTTATAATTGTGCTTTTTGTGCAGTTTAATGCCTTATTTTTAAACGCTAAGAAAAAAATGTATCTGTTCGGATACGTTAGCTGAACTTTCAGACTTCAGAAAATTTTAGGGATTGAAATCTTATTCCCTTTCCGAAAATCATAGCTTACCTTTTTTGTACCCAAAACGACATTTCTATCTCTCCGAAAACAACAGGCATTAATTTTCCCATATAAAGAAAGTTCGAGATGACATTTCCCTAAAGAAAACTCAGTCCAGTTTTTCATTATACTTTAACCCGAATATCTGAGGCGGTTATAGGCCTTCCGAACAGATATTCCACCGAAACGATAGGTTGGGTGCCCTGTAGCCAGCGAGTCTCCTCCCCTTCCTTCCTGCGTCACTTTTCCGATGCAGGAAGCCATAAGAGACGTCCGCAGGCCTGCATTGTTTGGTGTTCAAAGAAGTTTTGTGTAAATTCCATGGGAAAATAATGGTTTTACAAAGAGGTCGCAACATTACTCTAGTCCCAGAGGTTTTCTTTCTTCTGATCTCCTAGACCGCCTCTCAAAATAGATTGAATTGAAACGGAGAAGATAAAAGATAAGAAAGACGCAGCTTAAGTTTCTTTAGAAACTAATTGCTTTGACAATAAAACAAATTTGATTCGTATCTGTCGCGAGGATGTTTACAATAGTACGTGCATGTAATCCACCACAATTTTAAGGCATTGAAATTGAGGGGCTTGCACAATTTGAAAACTTAAAACCGTCTCACGCGTATAATTGCCGCATCGATGCTACGTTAAAAGTTGTCTCGTGTA